TTTCCCCTCTGGGGGATGATCGAAAACCGCCCTGAAGCGGCAGGAGAACTCTGCATAACTGATGGTGGCGGCGTCTATTCCCCTCCATTCGGCATTGGCCCACTCCAATGCCTTGCCGGATAGACAGGAGATGAGGGCGGAAACGCTCTCGTATCCCGAGGGCGCCGGGTGAATGGTTGCCAGGTAGAGTTCTACTTGAAGCAGGAAACCCTGACACCCGGCTGCGGTGCCATCATAAGCCCTCGGGAGCGAGAGCCGAAACCCACTGGACTCCGGAGATGGAACGATGGGTCTGGCCGATGGTGGTGGTATTGTAGGAGGAGGTGTGGGCAAACCTCCTCTTTCCCATCGGCTCAAAGTGTCCTATCACATCCTGCATGGCGGTGCCGAGTCTTCGGATCATGGCGTCTTGGCTGCTGACGCGCTCCTCTAAAGACTCCGTTGGTACCGCTGGTCCTGCTTACTCCATGGTGGTGTGTTATTCTGTCAGGAGGTGATGTGTACGCGGCGAGTGAAGTCAGACGCAGGACACAGAGAATCAAGGTTGACTACTTTACTGAGCGTTACGCACAAAACAAACGTCTCCAACACTGGAGGGAAAAACACCATATGCGTAATCCGAAGTAGTAGCTAGGCCGAACATCAACAAGACAATGAACAATAACACACAAAGCCCAAACGTAAAACAAGGGAACTTATATGCTACACAATCAACACTAATATGCAACAGGTGTACTAACTAGACAACACAAGACAAACACCGAAAACATCGATCGGCAGTAGCTAGTACTCCGGGGACGACAAACGCCGAAGCCTGCCCGAGCAAGGAGGAGGAGCAGCCTCGGCAGAATCCGTGACACAAACAATATTTTGAAAGAGGAAGCAAAGTGCTTTAACCATATGTTTTCGTTTCAGTCTCCTCCATCTCCACTAACCGAAGTTAATTACAAGTTAAATTTTTCTATTAATAATGTAAAATTAACCTCTACGGGATCGGTGTCCCGTATACGGGACGGTTGAGCTAACATGAGCTAATGTGATTAGCATGACTGTTGTAAGTAACAGCAAACTTTCCAGGACATAGACATGTCTTATATGGGCTGAAAGCTTAAATTCTTGTTAATCTAACTGCACTGTCCAATTTACAGTAGCTATTACAGTGAAAAAATACCATGCTATTGTTTGAGGAGAGTGCACAACCACAAAAAATGTATCACGGCAACTGGTTTGATACATTCACCTCTGAAGTGAAATAATGTACTTACATTCAGTAATCTTGCTCTGATTTGCCATCCTAAGGGTCCCAGAGATAAAATATAGCATATCTGTGTTTGATAAAATCCATTCTTATATTCAAATGTAGGAACTGGGTCCTACAGTTTGAACCCCTGCTGTCTCTGGCTCCACACCCACACCGCCCGGCCATCTAGATGTGTGAAAGTTATTGTATAAGCTAATGATCCATCATGTATGACATTCCTGGGAGTGTGTAAACTTAGATTTTTTATTACGATTTTTGTATGTTCTCTCTAGTTATGTACTTGAAAATGTATCAATTGACCAATTCGGCAAATTTGGGCAGACTTAACACAAAATAGTCCAGTATTGCAATGCTTCACTGGATCAATCTTAAACTTTGCACACACACTGCTGCCATCTAATGGCCAAAATCTAAATTGCGCCTAACCTGCAATATTATATTGTGGCCTTTCTCTTGTATTTCAAAGATGATGGAACAAAAATATATATATAGAAAACGCATGTTTTTTTGTTTGTAATATCTTTTACCAGATCTAATGTGTTTATTCTCCTACATTAATTTCACATTTCCACAAACTTCTAAGTGTTTCCTTTCAAATGGTATAAAGAATATGCATATCCTTGCTTCAGGTCCTGAGCTATAGGCAGTTAGATTTGGGTATGTCTTAAGGGTCCGATCCTGAAGAGGTTAACAGCTGTACTGAAAGATTCATGTGAAGACCAAATTACAGAGGAGGAACTTATTGATGCAATTAAAGCCTTTAAATCAGGGAAAATTGAAGGGCTGGATGGCATACCAGTTGAGGTACATTATGTACTCAGAGGACCATTATTAGCATGTTTTAACCACTCCTATAAAATATATAGATACTCAACAAGAAGGTCTGATTTCACTATTACTGAAACAGGACCCAGGTGGTAAATATAAAGATCCAGTCCATTAAAAAAATTGGAGGCCCCTTACACTTCAGTGTTGTGATGCAAAATTCTAGCAAAATGCATAGCGCATAGAATTAAAAAGGTATTGTCGGATATTATTCATTCTAATCAGACAGGTTTTTTACATGGAAGATACATTGGAGATAATATAAGGCAAGTATTGGAAACAATAGAACACTATGGAAAATATGGGAAACCAGGCCTGCTATTCATAGCAGACTTCGAAAAGGCATTTGATAAAGTACGACTGGGGTTTATATATAAATGCCTGGAATATTTAAATTTGTGAGAATCTATTATACAATGGGTTAAAGTTATATATAGTAACCCTAGGTGTAAAATAGTAAATTATGGCTACTTCTCAGAAAGTATTATACTGTCAAGAGGAGTAAAACAAGGTTGTCCACTATCGGCATATCTATTTATTATGGCCATCACAATGTTAGCTATTATAATCAGATCCAACAATAATATCAAGGGGCTTGAAATCCAGAGCTTAAAAACAAAGGTGTCATTGTACGCTTATGATTGATGTTTTCTTTTAAATCCAGAATTTGGATCCCTCCATAGCCTCATATAGGATCTAGATCATTTTTCTAACCTCTCTGGATTACAATCAAATTATGAGAAATGTACTATATTACGTATTGGATCACTAAAAAATACAACTTTTACATTACCGTGTAGTTTACCAATAAAATGGTCTAACGGTGAAGTGGACATACTAGGTATTCATATCCCAAAATAAATAAATTATCTCACTACAATACATTTTAATAGAAAGTTTGCAAAAATAGATAAGATCTTGCTGTCATGGAAAGGAAAATAGCTGTCTATTTGTGGAAAAAATCACCCTGATTAACTCTTTAGTCATATCCCAGTTTACCTAGTTGCTTATGGCCCTGCCTACACCTAACAACTTTTTTTATTTTTCATTAAATGAGCAAGAAATATTCAATTTTATTTGGAATGGCAACCCAGACAAAATTAAATGGGCCTATTTATATCATTAATATGAATTCGGAGGGCAGAAATTATTAAATATTAAAGCATTAGACCTCTCACTAAAGGCTTCAGTCATACAAAAAGTATACTTAAATCGGAACTGGTTTTCTAGCAGATTAGTAAGAATGGCTCACCCCGTGTTCAAGAATGGCCTTTTTCCCTTTATTCAGATTACAACCTCACACTTTCGGATATTTGAAAATGAAATAATCTCCAAAATATCGCTATTTTTAAAGCAAGCCATAGAAAGTTGTTTGCTATTTCAGTTTAATCCTCCAGAAAAGACAGAACAAATATTACAACAAATGTTATGGTTAAACTCGAATATACTAAAAAACTGTATAATCTTTGTAAATTATATCATAAATAGGACTGGTGGAGTTATGTCACACATGCAGCTAATAAAAATATATGGAAATGTCTGCTCTATTCAAAATTATAGCCAACTAATTGCAGCATTACCGCCAAAATGGAAGTGGCAAGTGGGAGGGAGAGAAAGTAAGGAACTTGTCTGTCGGCCCTGCATTAAAGACCAAAATTGGTTAAAGAAAATTGGGATAAATAAAAAAGTATACCAGTTTCATTTAAGGATAAAACAATTTGACAGCTGTGCCGTACAGGTTGCAAAATAGCTGGGAAGAGATTTTCAATTTACCGATTCCATGACACATGATTTATGAACTGATACACAAAATGACTCTGGATTCAAAACTTAGAGCTTTTCAATTGAAATTACTATATACAATTATTTCAACCAATATAATGTTATATATATGGGTGATACAACCATCCCAGCTCTGCAGATTTTGCTGCAAAGAGACAGAATCATTTGATCACTTGTTTTGGTACTGCCCATACACAGGAGGTTGGTGGCACCTTAATTGGGGAGGACAGGCTCATGGTAATGGCTGGAGCACAATCAGTGGAATGGCATCAAATACATCAAACACATGGTTTGATGCCATTCCATTCACTCTGTTCCAGCCATTATTATGAGCCGTCCTCCCCTCAGCAGCCTCCACTGAAATAGTTTGTTTTTGGTCGCAGGTTCAGGAATGGGTGAAGAATTACAACATTTACCTGGAGCTAACTCTGCAGATAGCACTGCTGGGTGATTTGAAAAGTCATAGTCAATCGATCAATAATATAAAAATACTCTTACAGTATATATATATATATATATATTTTTTTTTTTTTAACCATCTGTAGGAACTATGAGAATAGAAAGGTTCAGGACTTTTGTGAAACAGCACAGTTGTAAAATATATGGCTAATATAAACGGGATGGTGTTCAGAGATAGATGGGAAGGGTTGAGGGGAGCTGAAGGGTGGGACTAAAAATAACAAAAAACCTAGATAACTCATGTAAAGAATACTGTGTCCGTAAAATGTATATAGTATGTATAAGCTGGAAGTAGAGGCCTAAGTACTGTTCTCCATTAGTTTACTCCAATTAGGGGAGGGATGATAGGGTTAGGGGAAAATAATAAAGAAGGAAAATATATTAAAAACAGATATTTACCAAAAAATATATGGGGGAATTGGAAATGATGCAGACAATTACATTGATAGATGCCACAATATCTGCAATATTAAAGCTTTCACCCCCTAACTTTTTCTTATAATAATAAAGGTAAGGAAGGTACTTGCACAGTGTAGCCTATGTAAGCAAAGTAGGGAATGAGGATAGACAGTCAGAGGGAAAAGAGTTAGACTGAAGTGGAGGGAGGTCGGGAAGGAGGTAGAGAGACGTGAGAGAAGGAAGATACTGAAAATGAGAGAGACAAAGTCAGGGAATGTGGAAGAGAGAAAGTGAGAACGGTATGGACAGCGTCACCACAATGGAGACAGAAAGACAGTAAGCAAAGAAAGATAGAGATGGAAAAAGGGTAGAAGGCTGATAGATAGATGACCCACCTCTTCTGTGACAGGAATATCTAGTGACACAGTGCTTGTGCCGTTCTACGCTCCACTATCTATGATTACGGGCCTCCCACCTAGCCCCCAGCCATCCCACATCCACTCATGCGTGGCCTGTACACTCTATAGAAAAAATAGGATCTTACAGGCTTTTTCAATGAACTTTTTAAGTGGAGGGAGATGGGGAGGGAGGAGAGACAAGGGAAGAGCCCTTGTTTGGCTATAAGGTGACAGTTTCTCTGTTATTGTAGCCCAGGGAAGTTGAGACAATGGTATTAATACACAATGATATTAGAAAATGTATTTAACAAGCTATGCCACCTGGACATTGCACCTATTAAACATTTGTGTGTAAAGCCACATTTCAGTTTATTGGTCGCGTAGACAGATTTGATGATTTTATCACAGGTGCAGCGAAATGCTTGTGTTTCTAGCTCCAACAGTGCAGTGATAATACAGAGAAAACAATACAAAACAATACGCACATAATCCAAAAGTAAAAAGAAAGAAATGAAGAAATATCAGAACAAGCAATGTCAGAGTCCAGAATATAGATATAATTTATATACAGTACCAGTCAAAGGTTTGGACACACCTACTCATTCAATGGTTTGTCTTTATTTTTACTATTTTCTACATTGTAGAATAATAATGAAGACATCAAAACTATGAAATAACACATATGGAATCATGTAGTAACTAACAAAGTGTTAAACAAATCAAAATATATTTTATATTTGAGATTCTTCAAATAGCCACCCTTTGCCTTGATGACAGCTTTGCACACTCTTGGCATTCTCTCAACCAGCTTCATGAGGAATGCTTTTCCAACAGTTTTGAAGGAGTTCCCACATATGCTGACTACTTGTTGGCTGCTTTTCCTTCACTCTGCGGTCCAACTCATCCCAAACCATCTCAATTGGGTTGAAGTCGGGTGATTGTGGAGGCCAGGTCATCTGATGCAGCACTCCATCACTCTCCTTCTTGGACAAATAGACGTTACACAGCCTGGAGGTGTGTTTTGGGTCATTGTCCTGTTGAAAAACAAATGATAGTCCCACTAAGCGCAAACCAGATGGGATGGCATATCGCTGCAGAATTCTGTGGTAGCCATGCTGGTTAAGTGTGCCTTGAATTCTAAATAAATCACAGACAGTGTCACCAGCAAAGCACCCCCACACCATCACACCTCCTCTTCAATGCTTCACAGTGGGAACCACACATGCGGAGATCATCCGTTCCCCTACTCTGCCAAAAATCTTAAATTTGGACTCATCAGGACAGATTTCCACCGGTCTAATGTCCATTGCTTGTGTTTCTTGGTCCAAGCAAGTCTCTTCTTCTTATTGGTGTCCTTTAGTAATGGTTACTTTGCAGCAATTCGACCATGAAGTCCTGATTCACGCAGTCTGTTACTTGAACTCTGTGAAGCATTTATTTGGGCTGCATTCTGAGGTGCAGTTAACTCTAATGAACTTATCCTCTGCAGCAGAGGTAACTCTGGGTCTTTCTTTCCTGTGGCGGTCCTCATGAGAGCCAGTTTCATCATAGCGCTTGATGGTTTTTGCGACTGCACTTGAAGAAACTTGAAAAGTTCTTGAAATGTTCCGTATTGACTGACCTTCATGTCTTAAGGTAATGATGGACTGTCGTTTCTCTTTGCTTATTTGAGCTGTTCTTGCCGTTTAATGGACTTGGTCTTTTACCAAATAGGACTATCTTCGGTATATCACCCCAACCTTGTCACAACACAACTGATTGGCTCAAACACATTAAGAAGGAAAGAAATTTCACAAATTAACTTTTAACAAGACACACCTGTTAATTGAAGTGCATTGCAGGTGACTACCTCATGAAGATGGTTGAGAGAATGCCAAGAGTGTGCAAAGCTGTCATCAAGGCAAAGGGTGGCTACTTTGAAGAATCTCAAATATAACATATATTTAACATTTTTGTGGTTACTACATGATTCCATATGTGTTATTTCATAGTTTTAATGTCCTCACTATAATTCTACAATGTAGAAAATTGTAAAAAGAAAGAAAAACCCTGGAATGAGTAGGTGTGTCCAAACTTTTGACTGGTACTGTATATATATATATTATATATATTATATATATTATATATATAGATATAGTATATATATATACTGAACAAAAATATAAACGCAACATGTAGAGCATTGTTCCCATGTTTCATGAGCTGAAATAAAAGACCCCAGAAATCTTCCATACTCACAAAAAGCTAATTTCTCTGAAATGTTGTGTACAAATTTGTTTACATCCCTGTTAGTGAGCATTTCTCCTTTGCCAAGATAATCCATCGACCTAAATTAAATAATAATAACTTGGTTCATTTAGCAGACGCTCTTATCCAGAGGACTTACCGGAGCAATTAGGGTTAAGTGCCTTGCTCCAAGGGCTCACCTCGACAAGATTTTCACCTAGGGGATTTAGAAGCTGATTAAACAGCATGATCATTACACAGCTGCACTTTGTGCTGGGAACAATAAAAGGCCACTGTAAAATGTGCAGTTTTGTCACACAACACAATGCCACAGATGTCTCAGGTTTTGAAGGAGCGTGCAATTGGCATGCTGACTGCAGGAATTTCCACCAGAGCTGTTGCCAGAGAATTTAATGTTCATTTCTCTACGATAAGCCGCCTCCAACGTCATTTTAGAGAATTTGGCAGTACGTCCAGCTGGCCTCATAACCGCAGACCTTGTGTAACCACGCCAGCCCAGGACCTCCACATCCGGCTTCTTCACCTGCGGGATCGTCTGAGACAAGCCACCCGGACAGCTGATGAAACTGTGGGTTTGCACAACCGAAGGATTTCTTTACAAGCTGTCAGAAACCGTCTAAGGGAAGCTCATCTGCTTGCTCGACGTCCTCACCAGGGTCTTGACCTGACTACAGTTCGGCGTCGTAACCTTCGATGGCCACTGGCACGCAGGAGAAGTGTGCTCTTCACGGATGAATCCCGTTTTCAATTGTGCCGGGGCAAATGGCAGACAGCGTGTATGGTGTCGTGTGGGTGAACGGTTTGCTGATGTCAACGTTGTGAACAGAGTGCCCCATTGTGGTGGTGGGATTATGATATGGGCAGGCATAAGCTGCGGACAACAAACACAATTGCATTTTATCGATGGCAATTTGAATGCACAGCGATACCATGACGAGATCCTGAGGCCCATTGTCGTGCCATTCATCCGCTGCTATCACCTCATGTTTCAGCACGATAATGCACAGCCCCATGTCGCAAGGATCTGTACACAATTCCTGGAAGCTGAAAATGTCCCAGTTTTTCCATGGCTTACATACTCACCAGACATGTCACCCATTGAGCATGTTTGGGATGCTCTGGATCGACATGTACGATAGCGTGTTCGAGTTCCCGCCAGTATCCAGCAACTTCACACAGCCATTGAAGAGGAGTGGGACAACATTCCACAGGCCACAATCAACAGCCTGATCAACTCTATGCGAAAGAGATGTGTCGCTCTGCATGAGGAAAATGGTCACACCAGATACTGACTGGTTTTCTGATCCACACCCCTACCTTTTTTCTAAGGTATCTGTGACTGACAGATGCATATCTGTATTCCCAGTCATGTGAAATCCATAGATTAGTGCATAATGAATTGATTTCAATTGACTAATTTCCTTATATGAACTGTAACTCAGTCAAATCTTTAAAATTGTTGCATGTTGTATTGAGTTGCAGCCCCCCCCCCCCCCTCCCTTTGCCTTCAGAACAGCCTCAATTCGTTGGGGCATGGACTCTACAAGGTGTCGAAAGCATTCCACAGGGATGCTGGTCCATGTTGACTCCAATGCTTCCCATAGCTGTGTCAAGTTGGCTGGATGTCCTTTGGGTGGTGGACCATTCTTGATACACACAGGAAACTGTTGAGCATGGAACAACCCAGCAGCGTTGCAGTTCTTGACACAAACCAGTGTGCCTGGCAACTACTACCATACTCTGTTCACAGGCACTTAAATCTTTTGTCATGTGCCATTCACCCTCTGAATGGCACACATACACAATCAATGTCTCAATTGTCTCAAGGCTTAAAAATCCTCCTTTAACCTGTCTCCTCCCCTTCATCTACACTGATTGAAGTGGATTTAACAAGAAAGAGCAGGTGTTCTTAATGTTTTGTACACTCAGTGTATATATGCAGTGCATTCAGAAAGTATTCAGACCCCTTCCCTTTTTCCACATTTTGTTACGTTACAGCCTTATTCTAAAATTGATATAATAAATAAAAATCTTCATCAATCTACACACAATACCCCATAATGACAAAGCGAAAATAGGTTTTTAGACATTTTTGCAAATGTATTAAGAACAAAAAACAGAAATACTTTATTTATATAAGTATTCAGAGCCTTTGCTATGAGAATCGAAATTGAGCTCAGGTGCATCCTGTTTCCATTGATCATCCTTGAGATATTTCTACAACTTGATTGGAGTCCACCTGTGGTAAATTCAATTGATTGGACATGATTTGGAAAGGCACACACCTATCTATATAAGGTCCCACAGTGCATGTCAGAGCTCCAAGATAGGAATGTGTCGAGGCACAGATCTGGGGAAGGGTACCACAAAATGTCTGCAGCATTGAAGTTCCCCAAGAACACAGTGGCCTCCATCATTCTTAAATGGAAGAAGTTTGGAACCACCAAGACTCTTCCTAGAGCTGGCCGCCCGGCCAAACTGAGCAATCGAGGGAGAAGGGCCTTGGTCAGGGAGGTGACCAAGAACCCGATGGTCCCTCTAACAGTGCTCCAGAGTTCCTCTGTGGAGATGGGAGAACATTCCAGAAGGACAACCATCTCTGCAGCACTCCACCAATCAGGCATTTATGGTAGAGTTGCCAGATGGAAGCCATTCCTCAGTAAAAGGTACATGACAGCCCGCTTGGATTTTGCCAAAAGGCACCTAAAGAACTCTCAGACCATGAGAAACAAGATTCTCTGGTCTGATGAAACCAAGATTGAACTCTTTGGCCTGAATGCCAAGCGTTATGTCTGGAGGAAACCTGGCACAATCCCTACGGTGAAGCATGGTGGTGGCAGCATCATGCTGTGGGGATGTTTTTCAGTGGCAGAGACTGGGAGACTAGTCAGGATCGAGGGAAAGATGAACGGAGCAAGGTACAAAGAGATCCTTGATGAAAACCTGCTCCAGACCTCAGACTCAGCTTCACCTTCCAACAGGACAACGACCCTAAGCACACAGCCAAGACAACGCAGGAATGGCTTTGGGACAAATCTCTGAATGTCCTTGAGTGGCCCAGCCAGAGCCCGGACTTGAACACGATCAAACATATCTGGAGAGACCTGAAAATAGCTGTGCAGCGACGCTCCCCATCCAAGCTGACAGAGCTTGAAGGGATCTGCAGAGAAGAATGGGAGAAACTCCCCAAATACAGGTGTGCCAAGCTTGTAGCGTCATACCCAAGTAGACTCGGGGCTGTAATTGCTGCCAAAGCTGCTTCAACAAAGTACTGAGTAAAGGGTCTGAATACTTATGTAAATTTTATATTTCTGTTTTTTTGTTTTAATAAATTAGCAAAAATGTATAAAAACCTGTTTTTGCTTTGTCATTACGGGGTATTCTGTGTAGATTGATGAAAAAAACAACAATTTAATCCATTTTAGAATAAGGCTGTAAAATGTGGAAAAAGTGATGGGTTCTGAATACTTTCCGAATGCACTGTATATAATGGTGTGTATAGACAGTATGGAATTGAAAAGGTGTAGTAGTTGTATAGGATGAGCCATGACTAGAATACAGTATAGACATACAGTGCATTCGGAAAGTTTCAGACCCCTTGACTTTTTCCACATTTTGTTATGTTACAAAAAAGAAGTCAAGGGGTCTGAATACTTTCCGAATGCACTGTATAAAGCGGGTAAAACCGTATGTAAACATTATTAAAGTGACCAGTGTTCAATGACTCTATGTACATAGGGGAAAGCAGTCTCTGCAGGGTAGAGTGCTGGGTGGTAGCCGGCTAGTAACAGGGATTATGGTTCAGAGCAGGGTATTGGGCGAATGCCAGCTAGTGGTGATTGTTTAACAGTCTGATGGCCTGGAGATAGAAGCTGTTTATAAGTCTCTTGGTCCCAGCTTTGATGCACCCACCTGTACTATCTCCTCCTTCTAGATGGTAGCTGGGTGAACAGGCCCTGGCTCGGGTGGCTGAGGTCCTTGATGATCTTCTTGGCCTTCCTGTGACACCGGGTGCTGTAGATGTCCTGGAGGGCAGGCAGTGTGCCCCTGCAGTTGCGGACGGTTTCAATTGCCATACAAGGCTGTGATACAGCTCGTCAGGATGCTCTCAGTGGTGCGTCTGTAGAAGTTTGTGCGGGTCTTAGGGGCCAAGCCAAATTTCTTCAGCCTCCTGAGGTTGAAGAGGTGCTGCTGCGCATTCTTCACCACATTTTCTGTGTGAAGGGACCATTTCAGGTCGTCAGTGATGTGCACGCAGAGGAACTTGAAGCTTTTGACCCTCTCTACTGCGGCCCGTCACTGTGGATTGGGGCATGCTTTCTCTGCTGTCTCCTTTAGTCCACGAGCAGCGCCTTTGTTTTGTTGATGTTGAGGAAGAGGTTATTTTCCTGGCACCACTCCACCAGGACTCTCACCTCCTCCCTGTAGGTTGTCTCATACTTTTTTGTAATCAGGCCTACCACTGTTGTGTCGTCAGCAATTGATTTGGAGATGTGGGTGGCCACGCAGTCATGTGTGAATAGTGAGTACAGAAGGGGGCTGAGCACTCACCACCTGGGGTTGGCCCGTCAGGAAGTCCAGGACCCAGTTTCACAGAGCGGGGTTCAGACCCAGGGCCCCAAGCTTAGTAATGAGCTTGGAGGGCACTATGGTGTTGAAGGCTGAGCTGTAGTCGATGAACAGCATTCTTACATAGATATTTATCTTGTCCAGGTGGGATAGGGCAGTGTGCAGTGCAATGGCAATTACGTCATCCGTGGATCTGTTGGGGTGGTATGCAAATTGTAGTGGATCTAGGCTGTTGGGTAAGGTGGACGTGATATGGTCGTTAACTAGCATCTCAGAGCACTTCATGATGACAGAAATGAGTGCTACGGGGCAATAGTCATTTAGTTCAGTTACCTTCGCTTTCTTGGGTAGAGGAACAATGGTGGACATCTTGAAGCAATTGGGGACAACAGACTGGGATATGGAGAGATTGAGGATGCTCTGAGGACGCAGCTTATTTCAGCACCAATATTCAGCATTATTTTTCAATGTGTCAATGGGACAAATCCTAATTTCCACTTAAGTTGAATTTTAACTTAGTCTCCCATTGACATTAATGCACGATTAAGTAAAAATGTGTCTTGTGGAAGTTAAGACTTGCCCCATTGAGTCCATGATGTGGTTATAGACACTACTTTGATGCTCTTCCCTCCCTCTCTTCCTCCCTCCCTCCCTCTCTCTCCGTCACTCCTCTGCAGTGGCCTGAGGGACAGGGTCAGTATTCTGGTGGACGGCTCGCTCATCATTGGTAGTGTGAAGCCAGAGGATGCTGGGAGATTCACCTGCAGCCCCAGCAACAGCCTGGGCCGGCCCCCATCCGCCTCGGCCCAGCTCACAGTGCAATGTGAGTGTCTCACCCTATCCTCTACAGTCAACCCATACCCCCTACCCCTTATTATTATAATTATTTTGGGGTGCTTATATTTGTCCTGTTACACACAAGTGTAATGGAAATGTTTTTCTTGCATATCCCAACTCCCCCTGAGACACCCGCAGGGAGTGGGGTCACGGCCAGGGTCACCATTGTACAGCTGCCCTGGAGCAATTAGGGTTAAGTGCTTTGCTCAAGGGCACAGTGACAGATTTTTCACCTTGTCGGCTACGGTATTCGAACCAGCGAACTTTCGGTTATGGCACAACGCTCTAACCTCGAGGCTACCTGCCACCCTGCACTTGTCAAGATATGGGTCGTGTTCATCAGAGCACACAGAGCTAGCGGGTGTACACTACAACAAGATCCATCCTACTCTAAGAAACATAACTAATTCTACTCATCAGCCGCACTTAGGACATTGATTGACTAATCCTAGATCTGTGCCTATAAGAGCAACTTGAACCTGCAGCTGTGCTATAGAGCATTCCCACTGCAACTGTGTACACTCAGTCCTGCTGATGCTGTTCTCTACTTAATGAGTTTTATACTACCTAACCACCCTAATGAGCCACAAGCCAAAGACCAGTTTCCATAATAATGTATGTACATTTAATGGACGATAAAGCTTTTTGAATACAGGAAATATGGCATGATATCTGGCCATGGTATGCACCAGGGATCATCAACTAGATTCAGCCGCAGGCTTATTTTTTCTTGAGCGGATGGTCAGTGGGCCGGAACATAATTACAAATAATTTCTAGACTGCAAATTGACCACAAGAAGCCCAAACAGATATAATATTTGACTAAAACATAATAATTTCAAACCTTGCTTTCATTTGTATACGATCACATATATATCTCTATTATGTGTGGGAATACTTTGGAACAGATTTCCAAAATAAAAATCACTTGGAGCTGATTTGCTGTTGTTTTTACAGTCTTTTATGTCAAACAATGTATTTATTTTTATTAAATCATGCCGCCAGTTGGGGAACCCTGGTGTAGACTAAGTTAGATAGAACCCCTCTCTCTCTATCCACTGCATAATTGGAGGTTACACTGTTCTGTGGTCTCCGAGCCAATTCCAGACCCCCCCACCCCATATGCCAGGTGGGCATATTAGCCCCAACCGTGATCCCATCCAACCACTACACACACTGTGTCTCTAAACCTCAACACACACACACACCATTCCCAGGAGCCCTGCGGGTTAGAATTGAAACAGTGACCTTGAAGTGACTCTTCTTCAGTCATTTGAGTCACTTTCACTTTCACCAATGGTCTCCTCGTATTAAATGCTCGCTTTCTTTCTTTTTCAGTCACACAGGCTTTGTGTTTGATCAGAATTAATCAATATTACACGCAACCCGCCTTTCACTCGTGAGTCGTGACATTCAAAAACTCAGCCCTGTCATTCCCCCGAGGTAAATCAGATGTATTGTAATCTAAATGAATGGAGGCGAGGATGAGTGTTGAGCACCGGTAATACCCATCCATCACAGAGATGTGGCCCCGCGTCGGCGGGTAGTGACTCGTCTGGGTAGCCAAGGCAACAGACATTTTGCATTCACCCGCTCTATCTCCTTCTCCTCGGCTCTAAATTAGATTTTTTTCCCTCAGGGCCCAAGCAGGGGAAAGCAGCACCAGTCATGAGGGAGGGAGGGAGCATTACATCATCGCTTTCAGAGACTAGATACTTTTTTGACACAGGCTGCAGAGATAGAGGGAGCTTTTTTCTCTCAAGTAGTGACCACTACTTTTCCCAAAGCAAGTCACTGCTAGAGCCAGGATGCAGAGAGAGAGAGATTGATAGCTATCTAGCGCTGTTCTATTTTTAGACTTTGGATGATATTCTTGTCTGCTCGCCTGCCACTGAGGTCTTTGTTGAGAGTTGGGGCTGAGTAGTAGTGGTATAGTGTGATAACTACTGTATCTCCAGGGTTTTTAGGGTGGTAGGATGTAGATAGACACTGCAGTATACTGCACAGGCAATGCCTGAACTACCAGGGGATGCTTTCTATCTCCATCTCTCAATCTCTCTCTTTCTCTCTCTCTGTCAATTGTTTTTATTCAACATTTATTTAACTAGGCTAGTCAATTAAGAACACATTCTTATTTACAATGACAGCCTACCAAGAGGCAAAAGGCCTCCTGCGGTGACGGGGGCTTGGAATATAATATAGATATATATAGATAGATAGATATATTCTCTCCATCTCTCTTTCTGTTTATTCTTCTCCTCTCATCATCTCCTACCTCTCTGAATCCACATTGTCTACCTAATCTTTCTCTCTCTCTCTTTCCATCGCTCCTTTTCTCTCTCTTCTCCCTCCCTGTCTTCCTTTCTTTTCTTCCCCCTCTCTTAGCTGTATCCCCCCATCTCTGTGCCCTCTCTTTGGGGGGATGGTTGGGCTGCATGCTGCCATGCTTCTATACCTGCCCCAGGAGAGCAGTGCCATGGAGGCAGCCACACACACTCACACACACATATACAAACACACACACTCTAATGCTCACACACTCACACACGTCACAACACACACCACATACACACACAAACACACACACAGACCAAATTTGGCCACCGTGACCGGCTGTTTCGGTGCTGCGTGCGTGTGTGACAGGACCTGCAAAAGAGAGAAGGAGGAGGGGGAGAGGTGACATCATCCTCTGTGGAAACTCTCTCCTCTGCAGTGACGTCAGCTCCAGACGCTCGGCGGGCCAGGCAGGGAAGCATGCAGACAGGTAGCGTGGGCGATAGCGGCCACACTAGACCACTGATGGCACTGCAGCACTACGACAAGATTACAGGCTGTGAGAGAGAGAGAGAGAGAGAGAGAGAGAGAGAGAGAGAGAGAGAGAGAGAGAGGCAGAGAGAGAGAATAGAGAGAGAGAGATAGCGCGAGCGAGATAGACAGAGATAGATCGATCATAGCGAAGAGAGAGAGAGAGAGAGAGAGAGAGAGAGAGGAAAGTAATTACATGTGTGGATATGTGCATGTTAGAGAAAGTGAGAGTGTGTGTATGCGAGCTGTATCGAGACTGGCACTACCCCCCTCATCTTTCCTATAAATAGACTGTGGCACCTGGCCAAGCATTATGTTTTTTTTCGAAACCACTCCTTTCCGAGCTGCACCGGCCGTCGGATGGATATCCATTAGCTCTTTGTGGAGCGTGGCTTTGTGGCCATATTTACAGGGCTTTGAGCAGATGACAATGTCTGAATCTGCCATTAGACCATGGATATTATCCACATCAGAACCGACACAATCTGAGACCTGTCCGGTAAAAGGTTAGATAACACTGAGGGAAAGAATGCAGACGAGTTTGTTGGTTTGTGGGTTGTCACTAGTTACCACAGCCACAAAGTCATAAACCCCACCCATTTTGACAATGTATCTTCTTAAATTTGTATTTTAAACCTAACCCTAACCTTAACCACACTGCTAACCTTATGCCTAACCTTAAATAATGTTTACGATCAAGCAATTTTGACTTTGTTGCTGTGCTATCTAGTGTAAACCTAGTTTGTGCCGTTGTGGTGTAATATAAGGGGGTGTAGTGGCGAATCTGTCACCCCCGCCACATAGTGACACTAAACGAGATCACATTGGTACACTGTTACTCACAGAATACACTATATAGGGCTTTTCACACTACTGAGCTGAACTATGCCAAGCCAAACCAAGTTGGACTGAGCTGACTTGCTTACACAGCCACCAAAGTGTAAAAATATGAACTATTCATATAAAATATTCAAGTCAGCACAGTTTGCTTCGGGTTAGCACGATAGTGTGAAAAGGGTATATGGTTCTTTGAATTGGCCCACTTTGACGTAATTTCGCTAAGCAGCCCTACTGTTCTCCTGCTTCAGGGGTTGTTCAAAGTTAAAAGCTGGTGCATTGACTTTCAGTTCCAACTCCTCTTTCCTGTCGTCTCTCCTTGTTGCCAGATAAAGTTAAATTAGCCGTGACTCCAGACAGACTGCCTCAGCCATGGAAGCCTCTGTCTGAATACTGAAGAGGACATCCTTCTCTATAATAATTTTAATCCACACGTTGATACCATTCTACATATTTGGCTGTCTCAGATTCGCCTTCCTTGTGAAATGAATTGACATACTAAAAACGTATTTCCCTGTTCACTAGTCAGTGTTTACTCATCCACTCTAAACACACACACAAATGAACAGCTACTGCTCTCAGACCAGCTGCTACAAAAGCACACAGTTTAACATGTTACGACAACCCTGTGCTCATTAAACCTGTTATTTCCCCTGGCTCTTGCTGCAGTACTGGTCCCATAATCACTATCAATGTTACTCCACTATAAAGATAATGTTGTAGTATGATATTTATGTTGAGGCCTGGATGGTCTAGCTAGCGGTCAGTGCCGCTGCCTACACCATTGTATGTTTGCCTGTGTCGGCGTGGGTTCAAATCCAGCCCACTGCCTTTGTGACAAACTCTCTACCTTTCCCACCATATCTCCTATGTCCAATAAAAACATTAATAAAAAATAATATAAATTAACTGTATTTTTCTTTCTCGCCCCAGACCCTGCTCGTGTCAAAGACATGCCACCTGCTATCTATGTGGCCATCGGCCTGCCAGGCTTCATCCGCTGCCCGGTGGACGCCAACCCGCCCGCCACGCTGGTCAAGTGGACCAAAGATGGCAACCCTCTCCGGATAGAGAAGGTGAGTCGAGGGTCGTATTCATTAGAGCACACCGGAGCAAAACGTTTTGCAATGGGTAAAAAAAAAAGTCCCTCCCTGTTTCATTCCCTTTGCTTGCGTTTGGTTCCTAATGAATGTGACCCAGAACGTTCAGAGAGAAATGTATCGTGTAGAACCGGTATGATTATCTGTTAGGTAGGAATAGGGGATGGTGTCAGCTCCATTCGTTCTATTTCTATCTGCAATATACAGAACGTTTGACATCACTGAATACATAATCGCTCGTGGACAGATGCATAGGATGGTATGTTATCGTAGCGTCTGAAACAGACTGTGGGATGCGACGACTATTGAGGAACGTTGTTCCAGTGCGCAGATTTTTCGTCACTGACCATTTGGACAAATTACGATTTTGCTGGTGTTCTCATCTTTCGAATTTCGGAAGAGGAAGGGACATTTGGCCCATATCTATTTAGAGGGGTGGAGACTTTGCTAGTCTCATTAGTATATTTTCTTATACATCTCCCTCCAGAACTTCATTAAGCAATGCAATGCAATTACGGAAGATTTTAGTTCTGGGTTTCTGAGATAACTGAATACAGCCCAGTGGAGTAGGGTGAAAACACTGATCTAAAGTAAGTTTTGTGTTTTCCCCTAATGGTTAAGTTTAGGGCTAAGGGATAAGCTGATCTGTGCCTAGAAGGGCAACATCTACCTGGCTTGGGGATGGCAGACTGGGAAATCCCCTCAAGCTTTGAACTGCAACAAAGGTGATGAACTGAGCTAACTGCAGGGCTACTTTAGTGGGTAATTTCTACACTTCACATGTGCATTCCTAGTTTCAGGCTTCTAGGGGTGGATCATTTGTTGTATATATCCTAGACAAAATATAGCTGTTCCTTTGCTGTTTCCTTCCACTACTTCTTGACTTTGACTTCAGTCCCCTTTGATTCACAACTTTTAACTATTGAGAACAATGGGGGGACCGAACATACCTCTCACTTCCTATTCCATCGGGCAGCCACAGTCTCCTCAGCTCTTCTATGCAGGATGACGGGATAGTGCTGTGCCACTGGTGAGCTCAGCCATACAAACATTGTGATGTCATAGCGTTAGCCCCTCTTTGTTCCCTCAGTACCCTGGTTGGAGCCAAATGGAGGACGGGAGCATCCGCGTGACTGAGGTGACGGATGACTCTCTGGGCACCTACACCTGCATGCCTTACAATGCCCTGGGCTCCGAGGGTTGGTCCGATCCCACTCCCCTGGTGCTAAAGGTATGCAGGCTGATGCTAACGCTAATTAACGTAGCATACTAGTTAGCATAGCAATCATTATGCATTTTCTATGGGAAGACTAGCATGCTGCGAGTTAGCCTACGTTTATGCTAACTGTGCTAGTTAGTGTTGCAATTCCCATGCATTTTCTATAGGAAGACTAGCATGCTGCACGTTAGCCTAGTGACTACACCCAGGCTCAGGCCTAATCGCACTCTTATTGGGGAACACTTTCTCTGGGCAGGATCCCCCCAAGTTCTCGATTGTTCCCGGAGGGGAGTACAGGCAGGAGGCTGGGAGAGAGCTGGTCATCCCCTGTGCGGCTGACGGAGAATTTCCCTATCCCAACATCACATGGAGGAAGGTAAATGACCCCCACCACCACCCAAAGCACTCATGTTGTGGCCTGGTCTAACAGTCTATTACTTTATAATAGGACAGAGCTACAGCTCCTCTTCTCTATCATTTCACTCTAAAGTTATTGGGATCTGGTACCACATTGCTGTACACTCACACAATCTATTTGGCATTGATATTTAATGGTAACAAAGCTACTCGCTGTCAATAATTCCCCAAATGATGTGATGTTAGGTGACCATTATTGAGTAATGATAACAGGTGGTTATTACTACCACGTAATTTCTAATGGTGTTTATTTCCTAACGATTGTTGATATTGGAGTCATCTTCTTTTCCATCTTTGCCACAAAGAATGAGATGAGATTGCAATCAAACTGGCTCCTAGAAATCCCAATGTTTTAATTGCATTTTAATGGTGGCATTATCAGTTGAAACAAACTCATTAGCATTAACCTTAAATTGTCTCTTGATTACGGAGCTTCTTAATCTCTCCAGTTGAAAACAATGTGATTTGCAGTTGTTTGTCTCCCCTTACCGTCGTCGTGATGCTGTCTGTCTGTCTGTCTGTCTGTCTGTCTGTCTGTCTGTGTCTGTCTGTCTGTCTGTCTGTCTGTCTCTCTCTCTCTCTCTCTCTCTCTCTCTCTCTCTCTCTCTCTCTCTGTCTGTCTGTCTGTCTGTCTGTTTGTCTGTCTGTCTACTAATCTACTGTCTGTCTGTGTGTGTCACTGTCTGTCTAGCTGTTTTCCTTTTTGTCTGTCTTCCTTTTTTTCTATCAGTCTTTCGTTCTCTGTCAGTCTGTCTGTCTATGTGTCTGTCTACTAATCTACTGTCTGTCTGGAAGCTATGTGGGTGGACGATAAAGTCCTTCCTTGCCAGGACCAGTACAGTATGTGACTCAACCTTCTTCTCCTCTCTCTTTTTAGGTAGGGAAGCCCAGCAAAAGCAAGCACAATGTCCTCCCCTCCGGCAGCTTACAGTTCAAGTCCCTGAGCAAGGAGGACCACGGGGAGTGGGAGTGTGTGGCCACCAACGTCGCCACAAGCATCACTGCCAGCACGCACCTCCTAGTTATTGGTACGAGCCACTCTGCCGTACACATGCACAGGAACAGTCACAGGCACACACATACAAACACATCATACCTGGGTTCAAATACATGTGTATTTGATTATTTGTTATTAAAATACGTATTTTCAAATACTTTCCTATAAATAGCCTACTATTTGAAAGTATTTTCAAATACTTATTTCAAAATACATTATTTCAAATACCAAACAGACCTGGTTCAAATGCATGGGAGTATTTAAATATTTGTATATATACTGTGTATTTGAGTATTTTCAAATACATGCCAATATTTTTTAAGTGTATTTACAAATACATTCTAATATTCAACTGCTTGTTTTTTCAAATAAAAAATATAAAAATACTTCAGATCCAAATGTCTTTGAAGCAGGTAGTATTTTAACCCAGGTCTGAGACACACACACAGAGTTCGGTTTGACATCTGTAAGTTACAAACCTTATCACCATTTACGTGGGCCCTGTTTGAAAATGTCAAGAAGTCCTCAAAGTTATCCCTGCTTTGACACGGTTGGACAGGTGAAAGCAAGGGGAAGTGAAGAACCTTAAAGGCCCAGTGCAGTCATAATTCAGTTATTGTACAACAGTGTGGTCCTCTGTAGCTCAATTGGTAGAGCATGGCGCTTGTAACGCCAGGGTAGTGGGTTCGATCCCCGGGACCACCCATACGTAAAAATGTATGCACACATGACTGTAAGTCGCTTTGGATAAAAGCATCTGCTAAATGGCATATTATTTGATGAAACTAAAACTATAAAAGTGTGAAAATATGTCATCAGTGTTATTTCCTGATAGTTGCTGGTTGAAAATACAATTTACACAGGACCTTCTAATCAGCAGGTTTTACATGAGTGGAGTTTTGGTTTGCCTGGTGACATCACCAGGTGGTATAAGTTATTATACAACGGGTGAGTCTAATCCTGAATGATAATTGGTTAAAACCGCATTCCAGACGGTGTCTATTCCACAAGTTACCACCGGCTAAATCTATTACGTTAAAATGCCTATTTACTCTGTTCCATCTGACTGCGTAATCCACTGTCTCATCAGCCCAGCCAACCAATTTATAAACTTGATCTCCACTATAAAAAACATCTAATTCATTATCTCACATTTCTTTTAGAATAACATTTAGTTTTCAACAGCGGAGATTTGTATAAACCTTGCTGTCTGTCTCCGACATTTGCAACATTGTTTCAATATTCAAATTCGATCTCCAGCTGTCCCATAGTAATGAACGTGTCGGGAGTCGGGACGAGATGGACAGGCAGTGTTTCTCAGCCAGTCGAAATCATGAATCAGGTGGCATAATTTTTATGGATATATACAAAGAAATATCAATTGAAAAAAGGTAAAATGAAACAAAGTGCAGGTAGCCAGCAGTCTTTCCAGCTTCCGTTTGAAGTGATTGTGTTAGCTGTGTTGTTGGCTAGCTCCTCTGAACAACAGTGTCCTGACAAGTGAGCACATTTTCTATGCCAGGTGAAATCGCATCTCATTAGCTCATTGTTATGGATGTATCCAAATAAATGTCACTAGAAAACAGCTTAAACAAATGCAAATGTGGCTACTTTGCTGTTATTCTGGCTGCACTTTTTGACTTGACTGTAAGTTAGCCATAGTTGGCTAGCTAGCAAGCAAGGGATAAGAACGTTGCCAGCCAGTATGGCAATGGAACATTTAGAACGAACGACTGTCCATAGATACAGAACAAAAAGACTGAAAGACTGGGTCGCGTCTCTGGCAACCGAACCAATAGAACGAACGACCAGCCGGCTTGGGTAGCATCCTAGATTTGTGTCAGGACTATATCTTGTGGAAGGATGAAATAGTATGAATAAATTAATCAAAATAAAGTTTTTAATGAAAATATGTCAATTATTATTTGAATATGTTGGTAACCTGTTGTATAAAAGTGATAATTCCCTCGAAGCCGGTGTTTGGAGGATATATTGGCACGGTTTGCCAACCCTCGACTTTGTCTCGGGCCTAACAACACCCGTGCCAATATATCCTCCAAACACTGGCTTCTCGGGCATTATCACTTAAATAGACGAATAACAAAGACAGTTCCAAACCTCTATAATGCCCAATAACAGCTAGTTTTCAGGTTACATATCCTTCCCATTAGGCTCCTCCAATTAGGCCCCTCACTAAGACTACTCCCAGACAGTCCTAGAAAAACTATTGCTTGAGAAAAAAAAGTATGCTTATTTTTGAAATTTTTTATGGAAAACAATTACAGTAAGGTACTTAATTGTTACCCAGAAATGATTTGATATAGAGTTAAAAACGGCTGCCTTGCGTCATTTAACACCAAGGCGAGTCAATCCAGTTAAATTTGAATCTGCAATATAAGTAGTCTAGTAGAAGTAGTCCAATACTAGGACATCACATCCAAAGGTAACCAATCCGAAATGCTAATTTTCCTTATCTGTTGCAAAACGTTTTAAAATGGTTTCCGTTGCATGCCATAATGAATACGACCCTTGTGTGCTCTGAAAGGGTAGTAAAGAGAGGCAGGGCTTTGCAGAACGGCAGCGACGGCGGCATCCAAGCGTCAACTGCTGACAATTTTCCAAAGCTTGATGCGTCAGCCAAAGCACCTGAGGGACATTTTGCAAGGTCAACGACGTGGCATGCCAGCATCCGCAAATCACAAATGAGCAAACTGGGCTCGCAGCATTAAGGAAGTAGACACAGAGACTGTTTCCACTGCTGAAAGCTCTAGTTTGTCTGATAAATAAAGACAACCGATAGATAAACTCTCACTTATTGTGTCTAGGCCATTCAATAACAATGATGCCTTTTTGGAACAGTCTTAGTGTCCCTAGCTGCAGCTGGCTATGGAGAAAGACCACTCAGTCTTCAGTTAGCTGGCCACTTGCATTCTTGCATTCAATGGTCAAGCAACTGTAAATGGCACAATTCACAGGTGTTCAATTGGCCAATGGAATTCTCTCCAATGTTTTCATGTATTTGGTGGGTGATCAGATTATGGCCAAATCATTACTCTCTTTCAGCACATTTTCGAGTATAATTGGTAGGGAATATTTTTTACTTTTGTTCGAACATGGCCAGAGATTTCTCAAATCGTCTACTACAGACACAACATAGCAAGAACCCTATAAGACATTCTGACGTTCTACAGTTACAAGGTCAACCAATTAAGATACATTCTCCTCCATTTTCTTGGACAGCAGCAAGGCTTCCTGGCACAGGAGGTTGGTGGTACCTTAATTGGGAAGGACGGGCTCGTGGTAATGTCTGGAGAGGAATAAATGGAATGGTATCAAATATATCAAACACATGGTTTCCGTGTGTTTGATGCCATTCGATTTGCGCCGTTCCAGCCATTATTATGAGCCATCCTCCCCTCAGCAGCCTCCACTGCTTCCTGGATAATTTGTCTGCCTTCCAACCCCTACATCCTTTTGTCTGCTGAAACGTTTTGGTACTAACATCTGGCGTCATTACGAAGTGACACGACTATACGAGATCACACCTGTTATGACAGATGCTGATGTGTGATTGGAGGATGAAAGGGAAGAGGGTTTTAATTATTTGTCAAGTCTGACCTCACTGGTGACCATTTAAAGATGTTATTAAAGTATGTGTGGGCTTGGAATGGGGCTAACCCGAGCCAACGTGTCATGTAGGAATAATCTAGTGAGCCATAACCAATCCAGCTAGCTAGCTCGTCAGTCACAAGAGACTATCATAGGAATGACTGTAGTTACAGTACATGACTACAGTATGATATTGTCTCACTATCAAATTATATAATCTCCTGAGTTCTGCCCAGAGTCACCTGTATGCAGGTGTAGAGAAGTTGGCTGCACGCACACACACGCACACATACAAACACACACACACACACACACACGCACTTACACCCTCAGTATGGCTCTGATCAGGTCTGGTCCAGCTGGCTCACAGGCCTAAGCCTGTTCTTTAGGCAGCATGCCAGAAGTTGTTGTGACACTTAATTTCAATGAACCGGTTACACCTTGACCAGGCCACACCAAATCCACATATAGGAGACCACTCTAATGAAACTCAGAGGCCTACCATCTGACTGTAGTCTTTACACAACCACTCAGAGGCCTACCACTTGACTGTAGTCTTTACACAACCACTCAGAGGCCTACCACCTGACTGTAGTCTTTACACAACCACTCAGAGGCCTACCACTTGACTGTAGTCTTTACACAACCACTCAGAGGCCTACCACTTGACTGTAGTCTTTACACAACCACTCAGAGGCCTACAACCTGACTGTAGTCTTTACACAACCACTCAGAGGCCTACCACTTGACTGTAGTCTTTACACAACCACTCAGAGGCCTACCACCTGACTGTAGTCTTTACACAACCACTCAGAGGCCTACCACCTGACTGTAGTCTTTACACAACCACTCAGAGGCCTACCACCTGACTGTAGTCTTTACACAACCACTCAGAGGCCTACCACCTGACTGTAGTCTTTACACAACCACACAAAGCCTACACATATCAGAAAGAGCTGACTTCCTTCCAGGCCAACTCAGGTGTGTGTGTGTGTGTGTGTCTGTGTTTTTGTGTATGTGTGTGTGTGTGTGTGTGTTTGATTTGTGTGTGTGTGTGTGTGTGTGTGTGTGATTTAAGTACATTTACATTTACATTTACGTCATTTAGCAGACACTCTTATCCAGTGGTTTATGCTTCATGTTTCACTCTCTTTCTCTCCCACCCTCCTCACTATCGCCACTCTCCACTTGACTCCTCCCCTCCCCAGGCACAAGCCCCCATGCCCCGGCCAACGTCCACGCGGCGGTCTCCACCACCTGGGCCAACGTGTCATGGGAGGCTGGCTACGATGGCGGCTTCGAGCAGACATTATCAGTCTGGTACGGCCATGTGTGAGTCATCCCAGCATGCTTTGCTTCCTGCTTCTTCTTTCTTCAAACTTTTTTCCCTCTGAGGCTACATCCCGATTCTCTACCCTTCTCCCTCCAGTCAATGCTTCCACACCAATACAGTGCTTTGAAGTAGATGACAGGGAGAGTACAAGTGAACACGTCTTGAAAAGGGTGGAGAATCGGGATGCAGCCCAACTGTTTTTTGGGAAACCAAGCTCCTCTCTGCCCCCTTCTGCTGCTCTTCTTCCTAGGGGAGACTGCTTCACCTTGGCTGGGGAAGAGGGGTGTTGGATGGGGTAGCGGGGTGGAAGTTGCCCCTTGACACTGTCAAGTTCAGTCGAGTTCAGTCTCGTGTTTTAAGATTAGGGTTTGGGTAGGGGTAGGCTGTTCCTAGACCTGTGCCTTAAAAAAAGGCAACTGTTACCCAGAGCGGTTGGGGAGGGGTGGGGTTAATACATGAGAGAGGGGACGGGCGTAGCGTAACATGCCGTTGAAGTCATCCCAAATTCTTGGAGGAATCAGTAATCTGCATAAAATCCATTAGACGCTATGCCTATACAACTCCAATACGGTTGGATTGAGACAAGCACAAAAAATGCCTAATTCAAAGCATTTAAGACACCAAATGACCAATATTTTCAGTGGAATCTCATGGAAATGCCCTGTAGCTACACACCGATGTTCAGAACGAGGCAAAAATAGCCCGGTAAACCGTTTCAACAATAGTTTGACTTTATCGCCAATATTTTTCACCCATTGATTTCTCACATAGTATTCACCAAATAATCATGCTTATAACATCTACCAACACATGCTCAATTCCTAGCAGCACTACAAAATTACACATTATCCCCAAGCAGCTCACATAGTACTGCTGGGCCTGTATTCATAAAGCGTCTCAGAGTAGTAGTGCGGATCTAGGATCCGTTTTGCCTTTCAGATTATAATAAATAAGCTTACATGGACAGGGGGGACCTGATCCTAGATCAGCACTCTGAGATGCTTTGTGAATACTGAACCTGAAGCATCATCCACTGAGCTCCTTATAGACCACCACCACATCACTCACAGTCCAAACCAGACCAGACCTGCCGCAGGATATTCTGCCCTGTCATTAGCTCATCCTCCTACTCCCAAACAGACAAACAGCCAATGGGCTCGCCCCTTACTTAACGACCACAGATAAAAACTAACGAGAATAACTATCAGACTGTTACAAATTCTAGACGGGGGAGTTGTTATTAAAAGTGAATATAAAGTGCCATATTAAGAAACGAGGAGAATAATTATCGAGAAGCATACGGCGCAATTAGCGTGCTCTTTAAGTACTCTGGTCCTCTAAAAAAGTAATGATATATTCATGTGCTATAAAAGCTGTGTCGTGCCCACCCCCCATGCCCCCCTTCTGCCCTTATGCCACACCAACGGACGCGTCATTAGACATCTCATGTTTGCGTCGGAGGCTCCGTCGCACCCTCCCTCGCCGACTTCTGAGGACACTTACCATGTCAAGTAGTTTTTATTAATAGAATGCTGTACAACATAAGTGGTTAGTTACTTAAGTTCATTAATATGCCTGTGCTTCACATTAGACAAGGTTTTTACAATATCACATATCCATTGTGCTAGTACTGAGATGCATCACATTTAGTGGAACTATTTTGCAGTATTATCAATCAAATCATCATACTATTTGAATGTTTCTTTTCTGCCTGAAAGGGAAGTTGTGAGATGACTGATTCCTTTAGAAGTGCTGTCTTTTAGTTTCTATATTAGCAGCAGGCAAGGTGTGCCATCAGATATATTTACAACACACTGGAATTACTGCCACAAATCTTTATGGCATCATCTGGCCCCCATCGTCATCAACAACACAGCTGTCAGTTCATTCCACCGCAATACGAGATATTCGCGTGTTTGCCGATCACACACAAAACAATGCTGATCACTCAAAGGTTTCTATTTAGCCAAATAAGAGAAAACAGAGCTTCTCCTCCACTGACTCCACACTATCCAACCAACTGGCCCCCTTTACCCTCTCTCTCTCTCTCTCTCTCTCTCTCTCTCTCTCTCTCTCTCTCTCTCTCTCTCTCTCTCTCTCTCTCTCTCTCTCACACTCTTTCTCTCTCACTCTCTCTCGCCTAGTGCCTAGACCTCCACCTACCTGCTCTCCCTACAGTTGATGCAACGCTAGCAATTATCAACCTTCCACTTCCAATATTCCTGCCAAATATCACTATTCTATAGCCCCCGCTGCTCTTAACGCTATAGAATGCTCTATAAAAAGCATGCTGGGTCACAGTTTTTTGTATGTTTGTTTGTTTGATTATGTTTCAGGTGTGAAGGACTCACAGAAACAGCAGCTCATATTCATTTGAAACGTTGATCGGGAAACTGTTGGCCACAAATGTGCCACAAACCCAGTGTACACCAGCCTCATATAACATTGTGTATTCTAACTCTGTGTTAGGTGACGAGGCTGTTATAACAAGTCATAAGCTCCATTCATAACCCTATGTATTCTGTATGTAGACCTATAGGCCCAGACAACCTATTCTAACCCCATGTCAGGACATTATGTGGTTATAGCAGGTGGTAAGCCCCATTTATAGCTCTGTGCTCTGGATGCAGTCAGTCATTGACTCTATCGATCCTGTCAGATCTCTTTAGTTGGCCCGCTTTAACACCTTAAATCAGGTCACTATGGCGTTATAAAAAGTCTCAAGCCCCATATAGCTATCTCCTCTGCCTCTCCAGAGTGTTAAAGCATGGTGGTGTGTGAGACTGCCAGGTCGCTGGGTGATGCGGAGCGGGTAGGCGTTGTCACGCTTACCATGGTAACTCAACAGGCGGCTGACATTGGACTGCATCCCAAATGGCACCCGATTCCCCATATAGTACACTACTTTTGAGCGTCAAACAGGGAGCTGGATTTGGAGGACAGTGTCAGTATGCAGTGATCACGGTCAAAAAGCTCCCTTCTGCCGGCCGGGAGATTAAGACCAACGCTTCTCATTCCAAGGTCCTCTAGCAAACATGCTTGGCAGGCCTCCACTGTGATGCGTTTACACACGTGTGCACGTGCACGCGCACACACACACACACACACACATAGTTGTACACACACAGTCGTAGAACACAGACACAGACGCACGCATTCGCGCGCACACACACACACACTCATAAGCTTTAATGTGTATTGCCACAAACTTCAACGTGTACACACTTTTATATGCTCACACAGGCACCTGTACACACATTTACACACACTTGCATGCATGAACTCACACGTGAACACGGCCTGGCACATGCGTGATTGACCTGTTATCGAACCTGAGGGTTTAGTTCCACTTAGATGACAGCGTTAACTTGCTGAGCTAAAGGTTAGCCTCAGTCAACAATAAAAACAAACATGGCATGCAAAATAATTATCACACATTAACGCGCGCACTCACACACACACACACACACACACACACACACACACACACACACACACACACACACACACACACACACACACACACACACACACACACACACACAGGTTCTACACACAAGTTCCATCTCCTTCTGAGTATTTCTGAGTATATCATTATCAGCACTCTAGCCGTTGTGCTTGGAAGACAGCTTTAGATAAAATAAAAAACCAAACTTTTTCCCCAGACACCACTCTCAAGTCCTTCTCAATTAAATGGTATTTCTTTAAGTTGACTTGTGAAAATTGATACAGGATGAAGCAGAATTGTCTAAAACTCAAATGTATGAAATATTCATAGTACCCTGAGTAGTACTGCCCCACATATTGAAATCCCCCCCAAAAAAGTAATAATAAATTAGCCTCAGCGGGAAGGACGTACAGTCTTTATTTGTCTCATGTGTCAATCAAAGATGGAACCGTCCCCAAACAGCCCCCCGCGACCACATTACAAACACACCGACAGGCTAGCCACCATATCCTATTACAATGACTGCCACCATATGATTTACTCACTGACAGCCAATACATTATGGACACACTGACAGGCAGTGAACCGTGATATACACACTGACAATGAAAATATTGTGTTATATCAAATATATATATATATATACAGTGGGGAAAAAAAGTATTTAGTCAGCCACCAATTGTGCAAGTTCTCCCACTTAAAAAGATGAGAGAGGCCTGTAATTTTCATCATAGGTACACGTCAACTATGACAGACAAAATGAGGAAAAAAAATCCAGAAAATCACATTGTAGGATTTTTTATGAATTTATTTGCAAATTATGGTGGAAAATAAGTATTTGGTCAATAACAAAAGTTTCTCAATACTTTGTTATATACCCTTTGTTGGCAATGACACAGGTCAAACGTTTTCTGTAAGTCTTCACAAGGTTTTCACACACTGTTGCTGGTATTTTGGCCCATTCCTCCATGCAGATTTCCTCTAGAGCAGTGATGTTTTGGGGCTGTCGCTGGGCAACACGGACTTTCAACTCCCTCCAAAGATTTTCTATGGGGTTGAGATCTGGAGACTGGCTAGGCCACTCCAGGACCTTGAAATGCTTCTTACGAAGCCACTCCTTCGTTGCCCGGGCGGTGTGTTTGGGATCATTGTCATGCTGAAAGACCCAGCCACGTTTCATCTTCAATGCCCTTGCTGATGGAAGGAGGTTTTCACTCAAAATCTCACGATACATGGCCCCATTCATTCTTTCCTTTACACGGATCAGTCGTCCTGGTCCCTTTGCAGAATAACAGCCCCAAAGCATGATGTTTCCACCCCCATACTTCACAGTAGGTATGGTGTTCTTTGGATGCAACTCAGCATTCTTTGTCCTCCAAACACGACGAGTTGAGTTTTTACCAAAAAGTTCTATTTTGGTTTCATCTGACCATATGACATTCTCCCAATCCTCTTCTGGATCATTCAAATGCACTCTAGCAAACTTCAGACGGGCCTGGACATGTACTGGCTTAAGCAGGGGGACACGTCTGGCACTGCAGGATTTGAGT